CACAAGAATATCTCCGCAAATGATTGAAGGTACTTCAATTTTTTTCTACAAAATTAACACCAGGTTATTGATTAGGATGTGTGCAAATTAGGTGACAAAAGTGCCACAGTTTAAGAAAAGAGTATATGGGAAATGCAGCATACTAGAACAGATAAAACAAGATTACATTTTTTGATGCAGAAGAATGAAACTCGACCATTCTCCAACCCCATACACAAACATTAACTCAAAGTGGATGAAGGACCTCAGTGTGAGACAGGAATCCATCAAAATCCTAGAGGAGAACATGGGCAGTAACCTCTTTGACATCGGCCACAGCAACTTCTTTCAAGATACATCTCCAAAAGCTACTGAAACAAAAGCAAAAATGATCTTTTGGGACTTCATCAAGATAAAAAGCTGCTGCACAGCAAAGGAAACAGTCAACAAAACAAAGAGGCAACCCACAGAATGGGAGAAGATATTTGCAAATAACACTACAGATAAAGGGCTGGTATCCAAGATCTATAAAGAGCTTCTCAAACTCAACACCCAAAAAACAAATAATCAAGTCAAAAAATGGGCAGAAGATATGAAAAGACACTTCTCTGAAGAGGACATACAAATGGCTACCAGACACATGAAAAAATGTTCATCATCATTAGCCATCAGGGAAATTCAAATCAAAACCACACTGAGATAGCACCTCACACCAGTTAGAATGGCAAAAATGGACAAGGCAAGAAACAACAAATGTTGGAGAGGTTGTGGAGAAAGGGGAACCCTCTTACACTGTCGGTGGGAATGCAAGTTGGTACAGCCACTTTGGAAAACAGTATGGAGGTGCCTCAGAAAATTAAAAATAGAGCTACCCTATGACCCGGCAATTGCACTACTTGGTATTTACCCCAAAGATACAGATGTAGTGAAAAGAAGGGGCACCTGTACCCCAATGTTCATAGCAGCAATGTCCACAATAGCCAAACTGTGGAAGGAGCCGAGATGCCCTTCAGCAGATGAATGGATAAAGAAGATGTGGTCCATATAGACAATGGACTATGACTCAGCCATCAGAAAGGATGAATACCCAACTTTTACATCCACATGGATGGGACTGGAGGAGGTTATGCTGAGTGAAATAAGTCAAGCAGAGAAAGTCAATTATCATCTGGTTTCACTTATTTGTGGAACATAAGGAACAGCATGGAGGACATTAGGAGAAGGAAGGGAAAAATGAGGGGGGGGAATCAGAGGGAGAGATGAACCATGAGAGACTATGGACTCTGAGAAACAAACTGAGGGTTCTAGAGGGGAGAGGGTGGGGGATTGGTCAGCCCGGTGATGGGTATTAAGGAGGGCACGTACTGCACGGAGCACTGGGTGTTATACGAAAACAATGGATCGTGGATCACCACATCAAAAACTAATGATGTACTGTATGGTGACTAACATAACATAATAAAATTTAAAAAAAAAAGATTACGTTTTTTGGCTATTTGTCCACTAGATTAACTTACTAAATGAGAAGTTTAGCTTAAGGTTAATAAGACCCAACAGAAGTAAACTATTAAAAACAATTTATTCCTAATTTCAAAATTTGTGTGAGGTTAACAAAAATGATATACAGTAAACTGGCTTTCTAGAGTATAAACTGTGAAAAAATAACTATGAAAAAAATCTGTCTCTCTCTCAATAAATGACAAGCTGATTTCAAGGAGAGAAGAGGATTACTAAAACACTGAATCTAATCCTTCTAGAACACTATACAATTAAGGTTAATGATCATAGACATTACTAAGGAACTCCATAATCCTGATGTCTTCCAAATTAAAAATGGAAATAATTTAAATTTAGTGATAAGCACATTTTGCTGAATTTTAAAACTTTGACAATCCACGCTCCATATGGAGTGTATATACTGTTCAATTAACCAAATTAATCCTTTCCTAACCATTGTTAATTAATTACAATTTACTGTCTCTATTAACAGATGATGGTGATCAATTAATCCTCTGGTAACTTGGCAATAACTAGTCACAAACTCAAGGAATTATTTCGAGAATCAAGTGTATTTTATGTAGGATCTCTAATTCCAATTATACATATGTTCTGGGTTACCTAAGCACATCTGTGTTAAAATCCAAAATTGTATGTAAACTATTATTTACCAGATTTGCTTGAGGAAGTCAGGTAAGCTAAATGCCATCAAGTAAAACAGATGATTCCCAGGAGACAAAAATACACTGCATCTGCCAAAAAATCTTGTGTCCTTGATAGCTAAATTCAATCTCAATTTCTACAATTTGTATATAACAAAGAGGTTACACTGTTAAAATGTGTGTCCTTGGGAACGTTCTGGAAGACAGAACCAAGTGAACTTGCACTACCATCATCATCATCACATGTGGAGCTTTTATAAAACTGTGTACCTGACCTTTAAAACTCTTAAAGAGCTGAAGTTTTCATTTCTCTAGAGTTCTGAGATAGGAAAATTTACAGCAACAGCGTACATTTTGAATCTAGATGTCCAAGAAGTTTTTTTAAAAAGGAAATTTCAGTAGTACTATCAGTTCCTCAACAAGCACTTTTGAGTTATCCAGAGAGAATCTACCATATTACCATGTGCTTAGGAATACAAAGACAAGGTCATAGCTCATGTACATCAAAATAACTGCAAGTAAGTTCAGCTTCAGTAGTAATCAAATACATCCAAACTAAACCAAAATACTATTTCTACCTGCCAAGTTGATAAAAGATGTAAAAAAAAAAAAAAATCACAGTGACAACTTATAGGGCTTGTAAGACTGTTAATCGGTATAATATTCCCAGAGATCAATTTGTATTAAAAGATAAAAAATATTTATATCCTTTGAACTCACTTATACTTTTAAGAATCCTAAAAAAAGATAAATCAGTGGTATGTATAAGTCCCTTTGTATAAAGTAACTTATAGTACTAAATATTGTTACTATATAATGTCTAATAATAGGAGATTGGTTAAATAAATTCTAGGCTAATCATATTAGATAGCTGAAAATCATGTTTTAGAAGAATGTTGAATGTTATGTAAAAGATATGCTAGATTGTAGGGGTACCTGGGGGGCTCAGTTGGTTAAGTGTCTGCCTTTGGCTCAGGTCATGGTCCCAGGGTCCTGGGATGGAGCCCCACGTTGGGCTCCCTGCTCAGCAGGGGGTCTGCTTCTCCCTCTCCCTCTGCCCCTCCTCCCTGCTCGTGGGCTTGAGCTCTCTCTCTCCTTCTCAAATAAATAAATAAATAAAATCTAAAAAAAAAAAAGATGTGATAGATTGTAGGCAAATCTGGACAAAAATCAATATGTAAAAAATGAAAATATATATTCATAGCTAAAGAGAGCTAAAGAGAAGGGAAAAATATATGTCAAACTGTACTTATGATGTGGGAAACAAAAGCAGAAGAAAAATTATTAAAATTCCTTACTACCTATAGCCCATTGACAAGTCCTTGAAACAGGCAGAGTGACATTCCTCCAGAGTGACATTAACATCAACTGCCTCGATGTTAATACTTTGCTAAGGGCAACAGGTAATCTTAGCCCAACCCCCAAGATCCTGTAAGTCTACTTTAACATATAAAAATTCCTTTGGAAAGTTCCCTTATCTCTACCCCCCAAGATACATGTTGGCAATCATTCCCCAAGCATATGACCCACCAGCATAAAGGGTCTCATGACTCAGGTTTTATTAAACAGTAACAAATGACCCTTTCCCAAAAATAAGACTAGCCCCCTCAAGGTCCTGGAAACCTTGCTTCCAAAATTCCTTAGAGACTTAAGCTATCTCTAACCCCCTCCCAACTTGAAAGTACATAATGGGCCACTCCTCACGACCCCAGTGCCGCTCCTTCTGCCCACGGGTCCTGCCCCCTTGCTTTAATAAAACCACCTTTTTGCACCAAAGACATCTCAAGAATTCTTTCTTGGCTTCGAACCCTAAGGTCTTTCCTACATCCCTTACTGGTTGGATTTTTATTTTCTTCTTTTGTGCTTTTCCTACACTGAATGTAATAAAAAGGTTGCTTTTACTGGGATTACAATCTGCTAAAATTTTTGACATTACTTCAATGAAACCAAATGCAAACTAAATGAAAGTAGCCTAACAAAATAAATGCCAAGCCAAGGGGTAATGAAGTATTTGTGTGTGCTGTCCTCTTTATGTAAATTTGGTAAGTAATCCATCATCATTCAGGCACTTTCAAATCAGAATTTCTTTGTAGGGGCAATGGGTGTGAACAAAGCAGCCCAGCTAACCGCTGACCACCCACATCGCCATGGAAAGGGTGCTCAGTGTAAAGCTGCAATTTGCAACCCTGGGATGGGTATTGTCGCTATGGGATTCTGACTGATTTTCAGTGCTGGACCTGATCACAGATTTCATTCATGTAAACCTGCCCTAATGAATGCAGCACTCAACTCTGGATATTTCTCTAATGCAGCATCATGACTCTCTTTCCTACCAACAAAAATCCTCAAATATTAGGAGACTGATAGGTGGAAAAATCTGAGCCCTACATTGTCAATTTTATCTGGGGAGTTTATTTTTCATGTCATGTATATAAATGTAATATAACCACAGGACGAAAAAAAATCAAATATGACAGGAGGGTACAATATGAAAAGCAAATCATCCTCCCTTTTGGGCCCACTCCACTTTAACACTTTGTTGGGTTATGTTTCCAGATAATTTCCATGCGTATATACAAATAATGAATGAGACCGTATTACATACATAAGCCTACACCCTGCCCCTCTCACTTAGTAATAGTTCTTGGGTGCTCTGTCATATTAGTGCATTTAGATCTACCTGATTTTTTTTAATAACTACATGGATTTATTATTATTCACTTGTGGAATCCCACTGAGTAACTTTAAATAAGCACATTGAAACAGTAGTTCAACCCTGGACCCTTAAACTGAAACCTGGTTAAGGAAGTCAAATGAATAAGGAATGAGGCAGGTTATGATGTTACCTTAGCAGAAGATTACCTGTTTCCAGGGTTGATGAGAAATCATATATTTTGTAGAATCTCAAAGAGCTCAGAGGTCACTTTCTCCTATATTCTTCACTCAGATCCCTGGATTTAAAAAAAAAAAAAAAATTATGTAAGCTTCATATTGAAGTATAATATATATACAAGAAAAATTTAGGCCCCTTTCATTTCTGAATATACATTCAAAATTCCAAAAGGAGGGGCACCTGGGTGGCTCAGTCGGTTAAGCATCTGCCTTTGGCTCAGGTCATGATCTCAGGGTCCTGGGATCAAGTCCTGCATCAGGCTCTCCACTCAGCAGGGAGTCTGCTTTTTCCTCTCACTCTCCCTCTCTCAAATAAAATAAATAAAATCTTTTAAAAAATTCTGAAAGATAATATTAGCCAATTAATATAAAAATGGAACAACAATACAACAAAAACAGATCATGTTTACACTAAGAATTAAAGGATGGTTTACAACAGACTAAGAGAAGTCACTTATGATCTCAATGCATGTAGAGAAATAACTTGATATAGTTCAATATTTATAACAAAAAACTCAGCAGTCTAGAAGTGATTTTCCTTACTTAATAAAACTTACCTCCAACATTATATTTATTATAGAAAATTTAAAAGCATTCCTCTTATGATCTGGAATACAATAAAGATGCCCACTGAAATGGCCGCTAATTAATATGGTACTGGAAATGTTAGCCAGAGGCACAAGAAAAGAAAAAGAAGTATGAGGCTGAGTATTAGAAGGAAATATATGAGATTGTCATTATTTTCAGATAAGTTCATCTCCCTAGAAAGGTCAACAGAATATAAGCTAGTAAATCTAATAAATAAGTTGAGCAAAAGTGCCAGATAAAAAAACAGCTTACAAAGTACAATGTGTTCCTCTACCTCAGAAATAAATAATATCATTGATAAAATAAAAAAGAATTTACTGAGCAACCATTTAATCCAAGAATATATGACTTCTTTGGAGAAAACTTAAAAATTTACTAATGACTATAAAAGATGATCAGTGTAAAAGGGGGAAAAATTCATTTTCTTTGATAGTAAGACAATATTCTAAAGGTCTCAATTCAATCTAAATTAATTTATAAATTCAATCCAATCAAAATCCAAGGTGGATTTTTTTAAGAAACACAATAGATTTACTCTAACATTTGTATAGAAAATAAAGGTCATTAGGAGCTAAATCAACCTCAAAAAGAGAAGTTTAGGGATGCATCCTGCTCAATAGTAAGATCTTAAGATCTATGGGATCTATAGTGATATCCCCTTATATTTCTCATATAATTTGTGGCTTCTCTTTTTTGCTTGATCAGTCTAGCTGGAGGTTTTTCAATTTTACTGATCTTTTCGAAAGCCAGGTTTTGGCTTAATTTTTCTATTGTTTGTACATCTTCTATTGCATTGATTTCTATTCTTATTTTATTTCTTTCCTTCTACTTACTATGGGTTTATTTTGCTCTTTTTCTAGCTTCTTAGGTAGAATTTTCAGTAACTGACTTTGGATTATTTATCTTATCCAATATCAATGTAAATATTTAAAGCTATTCCACAAACTTTGATATGCTATATTTTCATTTTCATTCAACTAAAAGTATTTTCTAATTTCTTTTTTCAGCTCTGGATTACTTAGATGAATGTTAATTTAAAATATATAGAAACATGTTTTATAGCCCAGAATATGATCTATATTGGTGAATGTTCCATGTGAACTTAGAGTGTGTATTACGTTGTGAGTGGAATGTTCTATAAATGTCAGTTAGATTAAGTTGCTTGACTGTGTTTTTCAAGTTTTCTATATCCTCCCAGATTTTCTGTATTCTTATTCTATCAGTTACTGAAAAAAGTGTTGAATTCATTCATCAAGAAAAAAGGGAGGGGCGCCTGGGTGGCTCAGTCGTTAAGCGTCTGCCTTCGGCTCAGGTCATGATCCCGGGGTCCTGGGATCGAGCCCCGCATCAGGCTCCCTGCTCGGCGGGAAGCCTGCTTCTCCCTCTCCCTCTGTCCCTCCCCCTGCTCATGCACTCTCTCTCTCAAATAAATAAATAAATAAATAAATAAATAATAAAATCTTAAAAAAAAAAATCTTCTCATAAGGAAAACTCCAGGCTCAGATTATTTCACTAGTGAATTTTATCAAATATTTAAAAGAAGAAATATTACCAATCTGATACAAACTCTTTCAGAAATTAATGGAGGAAGGAATACTTCCCGACTCATTTTATGTGGCCAGCAGAATCATGATACCAATCAGAAAAAAAATTATGAGAAGAAAACTACAGACATCCTTCATGAACATAGCTACATATCTTGTCAACAAAATATTAGCAAGTCAGGGGTCCCTAGGCAGCTCAGTCAATTCAGCGGCCTACTCGGTTTCAGCTCAGGTCCTGATCTCAGGGTCCTGGGAGTGAGCCCTGCATGGAGCCCCACATGGATGGAGCCCTACATGGGGCCCAGCATTAGGCTCTATGTTCAGTGGGGAGTCTGCTTCTTCCTTCTCTCTCACCCTCTGTCCCTCCTCCCTCCCCCTGCCCCCCACCCCCCTCACACATGCATGTTCTCTCTCAAATAAATAAATAATAAATAAATAAATCTTTCAAAAAGAACAGAGTAATTTGCCTTATTGACTAAAAAAACCTATGCCAAACTGAGGGTTACAGAAGGGAGGGGGGTAGGGGATGGGGTACCCGAGTGATGGGTATTAAGGAAGGCACGGGTTGTGATGTGCACTGGGTGTTATACGTGACTAATGAATCATTGAACACTACATCAAAACCTAATGATGTTCTATATGCTGGCTAATTGAACTTAATAATAAAAAAATTTTTTAATTAAAAAAAAAACCTACGCCATTATGATCATCTTATTACAGGAAGAAAAAAAGTATTTCTGGTTCTCACAACTTCTATTCAACATTGTATTTGAAGTCTTATTCAGAGTAATAAGAAAGAAATTATATATAGATATATATAATAGAAAATAAAATAACACAAATAAATAAAACTATTCATGTGTTGATAACATGACCAAGTTTGTGAAAAACAAAAAAAAAATCCTGAGGTATCTACAAAAAGCTATGAGAATACTACAGTGGACTGAATGTTTGTGTCCCACCCCCCCAAATTCAAAACTGAAATCTTAACCCCCAACGTGATGGTATTAGGAGGTAGGGCTTCTGGGAGGGGATTAGGTCATGTGGTTGGAGTGCTTATGAATGGATTAGGGCCCTGATAAAAAAAGATTCTAGGAAGCTCTCTCATCCCCTTCTACCATGTGAAGACACAGCAAGCAAAGAAGCAGACCCTCACCAGACACCAAATCTGCCAGTGTCTTTTACTTGGATTTCCCAGCCTCTAGAACTGTAAGACAGAAGTTTCTGTTGTTTATAAATCACCCAGTCCATGGTATCCTGGCATAGCAGCTCAAACAGACTACGACAAATATGTAAGTTTAGCAATGTCACAGGATACACAGTTAATATAAAAAAATCAAGTATTTATATTAAAAATGTAGAATTGGAAAAACTGATAATTTAGGCTTTTCTATCCTTAATTAAGTATCCTGTCCTTGTAAAAGATCAATGAACCATATATGGGTGGGACTATTTCTACACTTTCTATTCTGTTCTGATGATAGATATATCTATCTCTATATCTATCTCCATATCTATCTCCATGTCAATACCACGGTGTCTTTTTTTTTAAGATTTATTTATTTATTTATTTATTTATTTGAGAGAGAGAGAGAGAGAATGAGTGGGGAGAGGAGCAGACGAGAAGGAGACAGAGAATCTCCAGCAGACTCTTTGTTGACTGCAGAGCCCCACGTGGCGCTCGATCTCATGACCCTGAGATCATGACCTGAGCTGAAACCAAGAGTTGGATGCTTAACCAACTCTGCTACCCAGGCACCCCATGTTTGAACAATACTCTTAAGAAAATGAAAGGGCATGCAACAGACTGGGAGAAAGTATTAGCTAAACAGATATCTAATAAAACAATCTATATCCAGAATATATAAAGAGCTCTTAAGAACCAATAAGGAGAAGACAAATAATCCAATTAAAAATGAGCAAAAGAGGTGGGACGGAGCAAGATGGCGGAGGAGTAGGAGACCTGGATTTCGTCTGGTCCCAGGAATTCAGCGGAATAGGGATCAAACCATTCTGAACACCTACGAACTCAACAGGAGATCGAAGAAGAGAGTAGCAACAACTCTCTGAACAGAGAAGCGACCACTTACTGGAAGGTAGGACGTGCGGAGAAGTGAATGCGAGGCGATATTCGGGAGGATAGACGGCGGGGGAGGGGGCCTCCCTCGGCCGCTTCTGGCAAGTGCTAGAGCCGCGGAGCACAAAATCAGAACTTTGAGAAGTCGGCTCCGTGGACGGACGTCGCTCCAGTGGCTAAGCGGGGGGTGGAACCCTCGCGGGACAGTGCGGTCTCAGGACCCTCGGGGTCACAGAAAGACCGGGGGTGCCTGAGTGCGGCAGAGCTCCCAGGGATCGGAGCAGGGAAGCCGGCTGCAGAGACGGAGCCGAGGCACGGGCTCTCAGCTCGGGGTGCCCATAAACCGTGATCCGCGGCCCAGTCGGGCCACTGCGCCTCCAGCAGGGACCCAACAAGCGGCAGAGCCAGGGAGACTCCCCTTCCTCCCCCAGGAGGAGTGGCGCGGGAGCGCACTGCAGGGATCTTCTGGGTTTGGAGACTCCACACGGGGTCGGGTGCCAGAGATAGAAACGCTCTGTCACAGGCCGGGTGAGCGCGGAGTGCAGCCGGAGACCGGGGACAAGGGAGTGACTGCTTTTCTCTGGGGGCGCACTGAGGAGCGGGGCCCCAAATTCTCGGGTCCTTCAGGTGGAGATTGGGAGGCCACCATTTTCACCCTGGTCCTCCAAAGCTGTACCGAGAGATTGCAGGGAACAAAAGCTCCTGAGAGCAAACCCGAGCAGCTTGCTTAGCCCGGACCGACAAGGGCGGGGCAATCCCGCCTCCGGCAAAGACATTTGGGAACCATGGCAACAGGCCCCTCCCCCAGAAGATCAGCAGGAACAGCCAGCAAGCCAAGACCAAGTTTACC